TCTCTCATTATCATTATCCTGAAAGCCACTTAATTCATTGGAAAATTTAAATTTCTGGATTGTTTAGGAAGAAGCGAAAGCCACGGCAGTTTTTTTTGTTCAATGACATATTGATTTATGGCAATATTTTAATATCGAAGAAGCGTTACAACAAACAGCATATTATTCCTTTAGAAGAGGTGCAGTTAGAGGATCTCAGAGATGATGGCGGTATAATTAAATAAGCTTATGTTTTTTAGTTTACTCTCGTTTACTACACTTTTACAGTTTTATTAGGCTTACTTATGGTCTTACTGGTGCGATAAAAATGGTTTATTAATTTACTTTGAAATAATCTGTGTACACACGTTGATTTTCCAGACTACTTCCCCCTTTCCTTGGTATTTTTTGCTCAGGTTACTTTTTAATACATAAACTCATATCATATTAAGACTTGAAGAATGGGTGGTTGATAAAAACACGTACTAAGTCCTTTGCCGTATACGCTGCAACAGCCACCGAAAAGAAGGAATGGATGCTTCATATTGAGAGATGTGTGAGCGATATCCTAACAAAAGGTTTAATTTATTTTGAAGACAGTAATCTCTTCCGCCTTCTTTTTCGTGGTTTCTGAAGGAATCTTCAAATTTCTCAATTACTTTTTTTGCTTTAGTGTTATGTTTTGATAGCTATGCTGTTTTTGGTTTGTGAACTTATCTCAGATGTACCAGTTTTCTTAGGTGGCAAAAAACCTGCAACGGAACATGCAGCCGTTTGGACACCTGACAATGATGCTCCTATTTGCATGGCTTGTCAAAAGACACAGTTTTCTGTTTTGCAACGAAGAGTAAGGCCTTTAATAAACTGACTAAAGGTCTTTGATGAGACTCTGAATCCGGATGTTATCAGTTTTTGAAAGATATTTTAGTTGCAGCAGTGCTTCTTTGCTATATTACTTACTACTGCAGCATAACCTTTAATCATTTTGTAATTTAATTGAGGATAGGTTTTTTAAGCATCATTGCCGAGCCTGTGGAAACGTTGTGTGTGCGGCTTGTTCCTCGCATACCCACCATGTTTCAGGTGTTAGTAAGCGTTCTGTCCGAGTTTGCGATCGAGTAAGCCTTTTACTTCGATGGAAATTGAGTCATTTTTAGCTTTTGGAGCACTTCTGTGAATCGTAAAGACAATAACTTTTTTAGTGTTTCTTAAAATTAACTGAGAAGAGTAGTGCTAATGCAGAAAGCAATGTTATTGGCAGAACGGGTTTGAATGAATCTAGTGAATCTGATGAAGAAGATAAGAATGCCCAGTTTGATCATCAGGTTTACTTTTGCAGAATAGTTTTTTTGTGCTCCTTGTCCCGTTTCTCTTCTCATTTTATCATTTCAATTCTTCTTGAATATTCCCTGTGTGCTATTAAGTGATATGAATACAGTAAGATGGATAACAGGACTATGTAAATCTCAACTAGTTTCTTAGCTTTTTAAAATGGCTTATTTTTTGATATTTATCTGCTTAAATTTCAGCCAACTTTCTACAATAGCAGTAATATTGGGAAGCTAGTAGATGGACCAACGGCAGATTTAAATCATTCAGCTGGAAGTCCCCCGCGCCTTTGGCAAACATGATGAAGGACCCGTTACTTTTGAAGATGAAACTTCAGTCGTTTCAGATTTCGTATTTTCCAGACATTGCCTTATATGTAGTGAGCAGTTGATTTATGTTGTTAATGGAGTGCTTTTTTTGGAGAATTTGCTGATCGTAAGCCGATGCATTTCTTTCGGGATAAGTGGACAAGTTAGTGCCCTTTCTAATTATTACAGGTTGCATTTTTCTTTTTTAAATATCTGAATACTTTTCTGTAAAGTGTATATTATGCCGACTTCAGTGTTTTTTGAATTCTATGCAATGCTGGCATGTTCTTTTGTGTTCTTTTTTGGAGTGCTACAAAATAACATGGTTCAGAAAACTCAGTCGTTATTTTGCTGTAAAAGTTGAAAGTTTAGTTTCTGTTGAGAAAGTTGAGTAATGGAAAAAGAGGGCTCCTATTTTAAAATATTTGTTTCACACCTGTTTTATTTTTGTTTGTGATGTAGGGAAGGGATCTTTGCATATCATTCTTTATTTTTATTTTGTCTCATATTTTATTTTCTGTAGTACATTGTCGCGCAGTTTTATTTTTTGTAAGTATGGTAACAGAACTCTGTTTGTTCCAGGTAATTTTCTTTTTTGGGTTAGCTAAGACAGTTTTCTGGTGCTATAAGTTTTCACTTTATATCTTATGCGGTCTTTTCTCTATATTACTGACAGAATGCTTGCAGTTCCTTTTTTTTAGAAGTCAAGTGCTCTTTTTGTTTACTCGGTAACTCTGTGTTTGGTTTGTTTATCCAAGTTTTAGTGGAAATGATGACAATTTATATTCTTCCTTCACATAAAACTTGCACATCGTTATTGACAATATGTCTTTTCACTTCACGATAAAATTTTTTGCTGGGATTTATTGGAATGTGTTTTAGATGATGCAAATTCTAAAAATTAAATCTTTATTCCAAAGCTGTTTGCGGTTGTTGAGGTAGCATTCTCGTATGTTGTTGTCACAAATATAAGAAAAGTGATTCAACTGCAGTAAACAACTCCTGTATCTGGGATTTTCCATTTGTAATTTTCTTCCGAAGTAGTTATAAGCGGCTGTATTTTTATTTTTGAACGAAAGTAAGTGCATTTTTGGCGACAATGTGGACAGGGGTTTATTTGGAAGCTTTATCTAGCATTGTTAGTATTACTTTTTGTCACAGATTAGTAGGGACCGTTTTGTTGCTGAGTTGAACATCAGTAGACTGGTTATTTGTTATTGGTTACGAGTGGTAGGAAAGCAGTCGGACTGGGATAGACGGTTCTGGTCCATTTGTACAGTTTGAAAAGGGTGGGACGGATCCGGATAGCAGGTGCTGATGGTTCTTATTTGTTTTTATGTGTCCTGTATATGCGGGTGATTCAGTCCTATTTATGGTGCCTCTGCTGTCATCATTTTCGATATCTATGGAAAGGAAAAATTTGCAGGTTTTTGGTGCCTGCCGTAATAAACTATTATATACGTAAAAAGGCTATGCAGTTTTGGTTCATCGCAATTTTGAAAAAAAAAAAAAAGAAGTGCATAAGTTGTATCGTTAGGAAATTTTGAAACCAATATTCAACATTAGTCAATCTTCTATCTGTGAAACAAATCCGACGCCTGTCAATAACAACAGAATCGAATGTTACATCGTATCAGACGTATCTATTGGCAGTAAATCAGATTAAAATATTTAGCTGGCGAAGCGCATTTCAATATACTTCGGTCGTTCGGCATAATATGTTAGAACTGCTAAATAAAATTCTGCTGTTTAACTGAAATATCATCCGAATACTTATCATTTTTCTGTCTGTCTGTTTTTCTGCTTCTTTACAAGTTTCTTGAACTATCTGATAAATTGTGGTTACCAGCATTTGTTCACAGACATAGAAATGTACTTGTTTTTGTTGCTTTCCCAGGTAAAGCAGGAAAGATTAACTGTACGGAAGTTATGCTGTGTTGTTGGCTGTTAGAAGAAAAAAGAGGGAGGAATAAAGTTTTAAAGATCTTACAAAAATATTAGCTACTTTTGAATAATTATTGGTTGAATATAATTCTTTTAGGACAAACAATATTGGATCAAAAAATACCTCTGAAAGGATTTTTTGTTAACAGTTATTTACATGAAGACGTGCGTAGGTTGCTGTCGAATGACTTAATTAAATTCAGCATCAAAAAGGTAACATGTTTTTTGTGTTGCATTAGATTACAGTCAGTACAGCATTAATACAATACTGTTGTTGTACTTTTAATACAAAAGGAAAGGAATGAAGGTAAGAAAGTTGAGCGTTAATTTGAAAGAAGAAAGTGATTGGAATTACTGGTTTAATAGACGGTATAAAATGTTAGAAACATTACATAACGTTACAATTTAAAATAGGAAAATTTCACACCCGCTTAGATTATCTGTCGATTATATTCTGCAATGCTTATTGTTTGCACTACAAAACAATTTAATTTTCTTTTTTCTTCGGTACTTCTTTTTCTTTTACGTTATTAATGAGCTACTAAGTACTGAACAACAGTTACTTAATTTATTGAACAATTGGATGGGCGTTTAAAAGTAAAAAGAGCGCTGTCATCAAATGTGACAACAACAACAAAGGGACAATACTAAAAATATTTCGCTTTTAAAACAATAAATGAATTATGTCTAAAACCGTTAAATTCTTAATAAAAATAGTAACTGGAATGAGGAGAAAATAAATTTATAGAAAAAGTATTTTTTTGCTTTAGATTATTGTTTTATCTCCTGCATTAAACAGTTACTGGTACTGCTTTTGGTGTTGTTCCTGAAGATTTCCCATGGAATGCAACGAATCCGCAAAACCGGAATCAGGCAACGGTAACGGTATGGTTGGTCAGAGCAATGGCAGTCTTAGCGTGGACAGCGGTCCTAGCAGTAGGCAAAGTGAAAAAAGCGGTGAACATTCAGCTAACTATTTTGCTGCTTTTTCATCTTCTGCTTTTGTTACCCACTGTTAACGTTGTTGACTTTGGTAACACTAACGGAGAAAGAAAAATGAAACTGCAAGAAAAAAAAAAGGGATTTTATTGTTGTGACAGATAAGAAATAACAAACTTATCAAAAAAAATTGAGCAATAAAATATATGTGAAAAATATGAATAACTGAATGGACTTGTAGAACAGTTTTTGACCTAAAAAACCTCGCGTGCTACTCAATTTTTTCAAAGTTTGAAAAGATACTCTGAATTGTCTGCATTTTTTTAAATAAGATTGGACAACATCCTTAGAATTATTTACCAAAAATAGTATATCTGCGGTAAAAAAACAACTGATCTCAAACAGTTGTCTTCGTAGTTTGCTAATAAAATTAATTTCCACTTTAAAAGGTACCATTTACACAAGAATAATCAGATGTTTTTTAATGGTTGCTTAGAAACCGCTACGTTTATAGATATTTATTTATTTGATTACAAAATTTGTGATGACAGTAATAGAAAACTGTAACCAAAAATGATAATTTATAACGTAAAAAAGACAGGGGATCTACTGGGCCGTTCAGAAAGTTGGTGCTGTTTTTTGTTTACTTCTTTATTCGCCCAAAGTACTGAAAAAGCGTAATTCAGCTAAATTGAAAAATTTGAACAAAATTAAACAGAATAAGATATCGTGATCAAAATTTTTACTCGAACAATAAATTGTTTAGAACAACTGACAATAATTTTACAAAGTTATCTAGTTAAAATAGTCTTCTTCTCACCAATTCTTTTTTTAACTGTTGTATATAAACTGAATGGCACTGATCTAAAGACAGACTATTTCTCTAAATTTTCTTTTTTTTTCTAAGCATAAAAATCGTAATTGTGTTGCTAAAATGCTTACTGCCTAAAGTTGTACTTGGCACTTGTTTTTTGATAACATTACTGTGAATTTTTTTTATTAATAACGTTATAAAAAACCTGAAAAAGATACGTCTCAGTAGACCATTATTTTGAAAGACAAAAATGGCAGATGGAGAATCTGATTTTTTGATAATAGTTTTTCATCCTCATGAGGACAACTGAAGTTGAGAACTGCTCTAACAGAAAATCACTTATTTTTCTATAAATCAAGCAAGGTATGTTTTGCTGTGTCTATTCGTCGTGACCATGCTTTTATCCAACCCATTTTTGCAGTCAGTCAAGTCAAATTTTTTGTGACTTTAGACCAAAGCTTCAGTTTTGAAGAGTCACGTGAAAGGCAAAGAGTCAACAACCTTTGGAGAAAAAGTTAGGCTTTATTTGGTGAGGAACTGGTTTTAAAAGATTCATTAACACAGTATTCAAACCGATCTAGTCAGCCTCTTTTCAGTATTTCTTCAAATACGTCTCTTTTGTGTAAAAGTTATAGCCCAATCTAAAGGTAAGTAGTAAACAATTTAACAAGTTCGAGCGGAAAAAAACAACAATTTTTATTGCTTATTTGACTCATTTTCAAACTGCAGGTTTTTGAAAAGATTTAGAAAAATGTCAAAAATGTCAAAACAGTCAATGAGTACGATGCTTCTTCAACAAGTGAGAGTTAGCTGTAGTATTAACGACAGTATTAGTTACAATGCATTCCCTCATCTACTAGCCTTGGCCAAGGTATCTTCAGTTCAACAATCATCTTTTCTGCTGTAAGAGAGAACGACTTTTGTATATAATTGTAAAAGTACCGTTTAAGAAATCTGAGAGAGCAAACCATAAAAAACGGTGGATAGAACTAGGCAAATGGAGATTTGATCACAGGTTTTAGAATATGCGTTCACCGACTCTAATCATATCGTTAGCTGTTTCCTTTTGTAAAGCTTAACTTTCGATAACTAATTAGAAATAGATAAAAAGTTTGGCCATAGTGATGTTGAATAAATTGTTCTTTAATTGTTGCATGCAGCTGATTTTTTGAAGCAACAGCGGTACATTTGGCTTTTCTTACTGCATCGTACTTCAAAAATACTTAAAAATAACTCTTGTTAGTAGCTCAGAAGTTTCTCTTTTTTTTGTATTTTCTTTCTTAAATTACATCTAAAATAATTTTTTATCATTTTCAGTCGTTAACCTATGATTATTTGACAACTTATCTTTAGGCTTGAAGAAAAAAAGTGTCTCTTACTGAGCTGATCAGTTTTCAGCCAGTGTTCTGAGTTTTGATAATTTATATTGGTGTAGTAATAAACCTTTTATGATTTTTCTTAAAGAAAAGAAGCTGTTAAACTAAAGTTTTTTTTTGTTTATTATCAAATCAATTATTCAATAAAAAAAAAAAAATAAATATGAAAATTTTTTTCGAGGACCAAAAAAGTGTCAAAAGTTTCTAATGCTTTAGTGGAAGGCAGTTGAAACTATTTTTTTGTCATAGCACAAACTTTTATGAACGGCTGAACGGTGTGTAGGATGCTGGAGAGTTTCTTCGTTAAATTTTCACTACTTGATTTCTATTTTAAAACAAAATTGCTTGCGACATTCCTTCATAAAAACTGCTTTTTTACAGATGTTTCTTACTCAAATGAAGAGAACGGTGAGGATCAGTTATCTGTTCATGAAAGTATACGTCCCTATGCTATAGGAGATGATCGCTATGGCCTTATTCTGGGTCTGTAGCTTTATACTTTGAAAGAACATTTGTATTTTTTTTTTCAATTTATATGAACAAAATTTCTTTGTTTGTAGGTTAGCGAAAATTTCCGAACATAACACGAGTTAACATTAAAACAGTTTACAAATTTTGTAAAACAATAAGGCAAGGGTAATAAACAAAGTTAAGCCAGCATTACTAACAATTATTAGTATGCTGTAATCCATAGGCTTATATAGTTTTCGTTGCGAACAGCAATAATTTCAATAACAGACTTAAAAAGGAATTTTAAAGAACAAATTTGATACTTAGAATTATCAGCAATAAACACTTTACAGTTCTGCTGTTGAATTATTTTAAAAAATCTGATTTTGGAGGACAGAAGAAGAATGTTATTGTGAAGGTTACTTGGATAAGGAAAACTCCATTTAAAACATACTTTTTATCACACTTTAGATTAGATTAATCATGAATTTAATCTAGAAATTCATCAGTTTAGTTTGATTTAGAAATTTTAGCAGTGTCAATCGTACGAAAATTTATCTAAAAAGACAAACCACACAGTGCCTTTTCAGAAACAAATATTTTCAAAGTTATTTTTCCTATTGTTTCTTATTCAGCCAATTAATTTCTAAAGCACTGTGCTTGCAATTAAGACTCTTGGTTAGTATGTGAAGTCAACCAGTTTGTTACAGCTTTTCTACCCCGTTTTAATAAACAGTCGACTTCAGAAAACCGGGTAAAGAGAATCTTGAGCTTTGCTCTTTCTTCGAGTTTTATAGTTTGCACTAATCGGAAAAACCGCTTTTTTTTCCTAATAGAAAAAAGTTCATAATCAGCTTTATAACAAGTTGCCACCTTCATCAGTGACTTCTATGAAAAAAAAAGTGATTTACAGATTTTTTTCGTTCACTTGAAGAGCATTGGGAAGACAGCCAACAGCAGCGAAAACAGCTGAGAAGAGCAAAAGAAGGTCCAAGTATAAGCAGAACGACTTCATCTACCTCTAATCAAGCGCTGGAACCAGCACTCTTATCTTCAACAAATGTTGAGTGTACTAATGAGAAAAACAAATTACCTCCATTAAAAACAACTTCAGACGAAAAGAATTTGATTGAAAAGTATATGCCACCGTTGGTGGGAAGTAAACATGAACGCAGAAAGTATGTACGTTCTCCGGAAGGTCGCGAAAGACGACGAACTATTGGTGAAACGACCGACCTCACTTCACCTACCCGCCTTTATAATAACAAGGAGAAATGCTTATATTTAAAACCACGTTCTTCAGTGCCTCAGATGGCAGGATTTACTCTACTCGAAACCGTCAACGCAGAAACCCCTCAGACAACTGGTACCGGCCGACTGAAGGAAGAAAATTACAACAACAGCAAGTCAGAAACTGGGTTTTCTACTGGAAGTCACTTTACACCGTTCAACTCAGTAGACTTTGATTATTATGGTCTTCTAGCCGATAAAAGCCATTCTTTTAATTATTTTGATGAGGAGGTCATATACAGCGAACTCGAAGCGATTAACAGTTTGTTATCTAAGTGCAATGAAGGTGCTTTATTTTTGTGTTCAACTTCAAAAATTTTAATGCGTCTGCAGCATTCAATTTATTTTGGAAGAATTCGTAAAGTTTTTTTTGTCTTTTGGGTTATAAATTCACCAGTTGCAAAAGCCAAACCCTCTTGTCAAAGTAAAACTGCTAAAACTACCTATATACTTTCTGCAGTGCGTCACGAACCGTCAGTTGTTGTAGCTTTCAAAATTAAATTGTTCAAATTTGGATATCAGACAGCCTTTGTGTGCATCCACCTAATACAAATAATAGTTCGTATCCTTAAGTTATCAGCAAACCAATAGCAATAAACCTTTTTTTCAGGAAGTATATTACTCAAAAATGACTTTACAATACAGAATAAATAGAACAATTTTTTAAGCATTTATTCGAAATTTTTACTGCTATTAAGCTTTAAAACAGGTTTTATTTGATGTATACTAATAACAGTATTATGACGAACAGTAATATTTATTAATAGCGGTACTAAAAAAGACAGTAATAATAATAATAATAATAATAATAATAATCTTATCTGAAAGTTAAAAATGATAGAGACGGTCATTGTAGCTTCGTCGTCTAAATCGTTGGATAAAGAAACTATACAACAGCAGGAAGCTTTAGTGAGGAAAGAATGTGATGACAGTTCTACAACACTAGAAAAAGCCGAAATTCAAGGTTTTATTTTAAAATATTACCTTATGCGGTTTTGAAAAGCGTAGAAAAAGCAAATAAAGATTTTTAATTTCTCAATCATTGACAATTTTCTAAAAAGCTACAAGTTTTTCAACTCTGCAGAAATTTTCTGACGTTTTTCAGTGTCCAATTCTGTGTGTATAAATTAAAATTTTTTTTATATTTTGGTGTAGAACTTAACTTACTGTAGCAGCAGTTATGCAGCTCTCACAAATATTTTTTTTTTCAAAAGTTTGATTTGCACTTCTAATATTTTAGTGTTAAAAAACCGTTTATGGCATATAGTAGAGGACAAATAATTTTAAAACAGTTCAAAAATATTTATCAAAACTCACTCGAAACCATTAAGTGATAAGATAAAAATTTGTTAATTAACTTTTTAAGATGAAATGCATACGGTATCAAAAGTTTGGCAAGCATTATCAAATAAAATAGTTGAGCAACGCTATTACAATGATAACTTTAAAAAATTCTCATTCTCAAGAATAGCATAATCGTAAAAAATAAAAAATACTTTAAAAGAATTTAAATAACTACCCTAATTATTTAAACATGCATATATAGGTAAAAATAGTAAGTGAGGTAAGAATTTCATTGTTTGACAATCAAAGAATTTTGTGTGTTAAGTGTAAGGAACCTATGTAGCAAAAACGACCATCTGTCACTTGCAGGTTATTAGTTTTGATAATTTTGATTTTTTTAATAGCGGTTTTGGATAACTTGGATCACTTGCTGGAGGAAGTTGGAGACGGCGGTGTGCCGTTACAAGCAAAAACTACAGTGGAAACAACTAGCAAAGGTTTGTTTCAATCATTAGCTCGATATATTACTTAAAATACCAAAAACGTTAGGCTTCGAGTGTTATATTTAGCTCTCAAGATAGACTAAGAAGATTTTTAAGATATGCTCAAGATAGATGTTTTTAACACATCTTACACCACTACTTTTTGTTTTTCCAAAGCCCATTTTTTCTTTTCTCTCATCTTGAAAGTTATTGGTCACAACATATTTGGTTGGAGGTACTTAACCTGGTATTTTAGCGTTTACTATCTCTATAAACCAGCTGTAATTACCCGTTCTTTAATTTATTGTTAGTGCATCTTAGCACAAGAACAGTTAATAAACAGATGTAAGAGTCACTTAGTCCAAGATCGATATGAGAAATTTTTTTCCAAAGTATACTGTTCCAGACGACTGCTAAATGTTTCAGGAGATCAGCAGACTTATTATTTCTGTATTTACCAATACTAATTACGGTTATACATAGTAGCAAAAGCTAGTTGTTCTATAATTTCAATTATGATTTTGTTGGATAAAAATGTTTGCACTATATCCCGAAAAAAGTTTATACAATTGCTTTTAGCAAAGGAAGAAAATGCCAATATAGACGAAGATGAGAATTCACCACATAGTAAAACGGCACTACGACGGCGCCGTATAAACGCGAAACGTTTACGACCACAAAAGATGGTCACTGGAATAACATTTTTGCCACCGAGTTTATCGTCGGAAAATGCTGCCGATAGTGAAGAGTCGCGGTTAGGAAAAGTGCCTTGCAAGCACTGTGGTGAATCTTATCATTTAGGCCTTGGAATGTCGAGCCACATGAGGTGGAAGCATAAAGATGCTGTCACTCAAACGGTACAATTTTTCAAGATAAAGAAGAAATAATAACAGAAGTATATCAGCTTGCTTTTTCTGCTGATCATTAATATTCGCCTTTTTATTTTTAATATTCAGTTTGCTGGAAGAAAGCTTTGCTTTTAAATATCTACGCCACTTATTTAAAAGTTCTGGTGACTCCTCATTTGATTCAAAATAGCTTGAACAAAATGTATTTGTTTGATGTAATTGTTACCCTTAACTAAACAGTCACATTCTATTTCAGTGTCCACATTGCGAAAAAATATACAAAGACTCAAACAAATTTATAGAACACCTTGAATCTTGTAAGAAGAGTGGAACACGATTTAAAAAAAATGTTCAGAAGGTAAAATTTACAATTTAAAACTAAAACCGAATAAAATTTATTAATTATTTATTTGTGCTTAAAGATTTCAATTAAAGTAGGTTTTGTTTGCAATGATCTTTTTTAAAAATCCTAGTTTACGGTGTTAGAACAATCGCAAAACTGCTTTTAAACAGTTCTTGAAATTCTTTTTTCTCTGTAGCATCGATTCAGCTCTAAAACTAAATTTTTACTGTAATACAGCAGTGAACTTTTTAGTTATCTTGATTGATTTAACGTCCTAAACGTTGTAAGAACCAACAAGTCTGAAGCAGTTCCAGTTTTTCATTGATGATAAAAATACCTGTCCTGTTGACCGCTGTGAAAAGTAAACCTATGTAGGCCGTGACCAAAAGAGAAGTCCCGTTGTTAAGCAAAAAAAATTTTTTTGGGCTCGGACAACTGAACTTTAAAAGATGATGACTTTTTAAGGAAGTGTTTATGACAGTTTTTTGTTCCATTATTCTGACAACTGCCAGTTGAGACGTCTACAAAGGCGAAGATAAAAAAATCGAAGAATAAAGAAAGCTTTTTTTTTTTTAATAAGTGTTATCAAAAATATGTTTTTTTGCTAGATATTGCATAAAATGCAACATTTCTTCAATCTTATTTTTTCCAGTTTTTCCAAAACTTTTTTGTAGAAAATTGTAGAGATGGTATGTTGTTTCTTTTTTTTTGTCTGAAATTTTTAGTTCAGCTTTACCAGTCATTGTGAACAACTATAGTTGTGATCACAAGATTATTGTCGGTTATCGGTTTAAGTGTTTCAAGAAGAATAAAACAGAATAAAACGAAAAAAAAATGATTGTTTAAGGTGGAAGAGTAAAAGTTCTGTTTTTTGAAAATCTGACGCCAGTGTTTCTATACAAATAGAAATCATAACTGTTACTACTATTTTCTTTGTTTCATATTCCTTGACATATATATTACTGTGCTGTAATATTATCATTAAAATGATAAAATTTTACTGTTAATTGGTATTTTCAACTTTATACAACTCATAATTCATTTACTGATGACTTTCTGTCTTCAGTTCTGATTGAAGTTGTTTATATATGACTATGGTTACTGAATTCACTAAATCACTTGCAATAACAGCAAATAAGGTTCAAGTATGCATGTAAATAACCCTACTGTCAAAGATAAAACTTCTCATGAGTAGTACTTCAAACACTAAAAAAAATTTCTTTTTAGCTGTCAATGCAATTTAGTATTCATGAATAATAAGCTAGCAACTTTTTGACGATTCTCAATAATATGTTTTAAATGTGAGCCAAAGATACTTTTTATAGTTAGCTGGTCATTAGCATAACTTAAACTCAAACTCACATTAACCAAACAACCCAAAAAGAATTACACTATACTTGCATTATTTTTGATTACAGTTCATTCACTTTAATTAAGCATAAACTTTTTTCAAATAAATCTTCAATAATCAAAGTTCCTCAGTTAACCCAAAGTTAATTCAAAGTACGGAAAACAAGTCGACGAACCAAAAGGAAAAAAATTTAAGCTTCTATACTGTTGAACGCCAAGTAATCGAACAAGTGACAACATATAAAGTTCCCATCTCAAATTGCACAATATTGGCCGTAGTATGGGTAACAATTCAAGTAACACTTGGCAACAATTCCACTTGGTCTCTGCAATAAACAACAGTAACCTCCAGCTAAGTAAGACTGAGGTTCTTCTGACATTTAAGCCAATATTGTTTTATTTAAGAAAAATAACATTTTTTATCTGAACAGCAACCCTCTAAAATGTGGTGGATTTTAACGCAAAAAAAATTGATTCAGATAAATTGTAACACTGATGAATATCTATATATGCGAGCCTGCAAATTTTCGGAGTTCAGTTAATGTTTTACTTGCATAAGGTGGTGCAATCAGAAACAGCAAGATGCATATAAATATGTATGCATGTATATTTCAGGGTTGAACAGGATTGTGCAATTGTTGACGGTGATAGTTAAGTATAAAAGTTGTTTGAAATGCTGTAGGAACAATTTCATAGTTGGTGTCCTTCACTTTATCCTTCACTTCTGACATTCAAGCAACCACATAACCAATAACGCTTCTTTTCTACAATGATTCCTGCGAACTTCTCCATCTTCTTTTTTTTCTTCTTCCTCCGCTGCTGCTGCTGCTTCATTCGGCTTCTTCTGCTCTTAAATTTGATAAATCCGTCTGCTTTTAAAGTTTTGCAACTGCTGTTCATGCAGCTTAAAACAAATTTCTATGTCAATATGTTTTGCATCTGTGAAGTTGCTATTGTCACATCGAAAAGTTTCAGCAGAGCGTTGATTAACTTAATAAATGTTCCGCTAAGCTTCAAAAGAAAATAATTTTCACAATCATAAAAAACTTTTTGTTGATGAAAAAAGTCAAATATTTAAACTTGGAAAACAATTATCTCTCTTTTCAAAGAATAATCTTTGTTGTTCTTAAAGCATTTACTTGTTTATTGTTTAGTGTACTTATTCATTTTTCATCTTGTTGTTGTCGTCGATACAGTTAGGAGAATCTTTCCTCTGCAACTGATTTGTAAGAAAAAATGAAGAAAATTAGACGAAAAAAATTATGCGAGTTTTCTGGTGCTGTAAATCTGTTAATCCATTCGTACTTGATTGGCATTAGGACGGGTTATAGAAAGATTTTTTTTTTTTGAATCAAAGTCAGAATCAAAAGAGGTTAAAAAAAAGAAAAACTGATTGACATTTAGGCGCTGTAACAATTTGGAGTGTTAGTTCCAAACTAAAATCAGTCAAATTTTGCTTTATTTTTTCCGCTTATTTTGTTTTTTTCTTCTAGTATGCTTTTTTTTTCACTGATGCTTTTTAAGAACTTAAGGATATCAAGTATTAATAAAGGAAGTTGAGAAGATGTAAATAATTAATAAGCTTTAATAATTTAAAGAAAGAAATGGAAAAAAGAAGAAAGCTTCAGTTTTGAATAGCTGAATGAATAGCTGATTTAAAATGACTTAACAGAAATGACAAAAATTAAAAATAATTATTTTGGTTGTTATTACCTAATTCTTCTTCCTTTTTTCCTGCTCTTTGAAATCTTTGAGCCATAAAATTTGTTTAAAATCATGCTCAAAATTAAAACTAAAATGAACATCGTATCGAGTAATTTTTCTTATTTGCAATATTTGGCGTTTCTTTTTTTTGCAGCTAAGTCGAAAAAGAAGCAAAAGTTATGGCAGAAAGTATTTTTGTCCGAACTTTTGACGACAGCACTATTAGCGTGTCCGTGTCCCCTGACACGTCAGTTCTGGAATTGAAAAAAACCATCAGTGATCAGTTGAATCTTTTAGAAGAGGATTATCTAATTAGTTTTGAAGGTAAGGTTAATTTTGATTGGACTACAGGAGAAGACAAACTATAATGTACTGAGCAGGGTGTAACGAAACGCCATCGAAATTTTTAGTAAAGTAAAATTACTGTGGTGGTCAGTTTTGTACTCCATATAGTTATATCTCAGTAAGACCAAATGTATTGCTAGCCATTTATCTACAGTCTTCACAAGAACAATAGGTTACCGCTACGATCCATCTAAAACGGCGCATCAGTTCACAGAATGCTGCTATAATTAAGCGATACCAAAGGCAACATCCAAATTCAATCGAAAAAAATGACCGGAATACTGTTCCTTGTGAACTAAGCTTTTAATTATCTTTGAACAGTTGGATTAACAATTGACGTCAGATTTCTATTGACAACAGAAGAACTTGTTGCAGTACTGAGCTATCGCTAAAAAAAATCAGCAGTAATACTACAAAGTTTGTAGAAGAAGGAAGATTAAAAGTGTGCTTCAACAAAAAAAAAAAAAAAAAAAAGCAAAATATTGTAAACAGAAGAAAAAAGTGTTTCATAGCAGTCTGCATGCTTTTAGGTTCTATTCTGGAGGACAACAAACTGCTTTCCGATTATGACATTTCAAGAAATACAACTTTTCATCTGATTCCGACTTTGCCTGGTGGTAGAGTCTTCAAGATTAATCCAAATCTTGTCAAAATCGCAGCTAAATATCGCTGGGAGAGACGAATTTGCCGTCGGGTAAGTCTGGTTATTCTTTCTGATCCCTCTCTTTCTTCTTCATCCATTTGATTGTTGTTTTTTCTTCAAATTAAGCACCACCAATTTCATTCTGTCTGACTGCTTAGTATATTTATGGATAACTAATTATCAACGCATAATTTTTTAATTTCTTATTCAGTGTTACGCTCGTCTTCCGGCCCGAGCAACTCAATGCCGAAAGAAAAAATGCCGCTCCAGAAACATCCGTGAAAAAGCTGAACTCAAGGTCCACAAGCCATGAGCAAAAACCACGACAATCTTTAGGCTTCAAAAAAGTCCAGTCATTTTTACTTCGTCAGAAATCTCCATGATGATGCTACATTTTTACTGTGATATATTAACATAACAGAACAACAACGACAACAACAAAAGGTGCTGAAACTGAAGTGGATCTCAGTAGCTGATAAGCAATTCTGAGTAATAATGATTTATCAGGATGGCAGACAGAGTATCGTTTCAAAGTACCGGTGCGGCAATGATGAGGGGCTGAAAAGTACCACAAAAATTGTTGCTATATTGAGACAAATTTTCTTTGCCACTTTTTAAAAAAGAAGCATAGAGAAAAACTAGACATTCAAAAAAAAAAATTCTAATTTCTTCTGTACTTACTGTTGTTAAAAAGTTGCATTTAGTTGTAAATACAATTAAATTACATATATATATATACATATATATATATATATATATATA